GATTTTGTTAAGGCTTGCTTTATGGCCTAATATGTGGTCTATTCTGGAGAATGTTCCATGTGTGTTGGAAAAGAAAGTATACTTGGCTGCTGTTGGGTGGAGTGTTCAGTATATGTCTATGAGATCAAGTTGGTTGATTGTAGCATTTAGCTCTTCCCGTATCTTTGTTGAACTTCTTTCTGAATGTTCTGTCCTTCACGGAAAGTGGTGTGTTGAAGTCTCCTACTACTATTGTGAAGCTGTTTATCTCTCCTTTCAATGTTGTTAGAGTTTGTTTTATGTATTTTGGAGCCCTGTCGTTGTGTTCATAATATTTATTATAGTTACGTCCTCCTGGTGCATTGACTCTTTAATCATTATATAGTGTCCTTCTTTAACCTTTGGGGTGGATTTTACTTTAAAGTCTATTTTGTCAAAGATTAATATTGCCACTCTGCTCTTTTTTGAGTGTTGTTTGCTTGATATATTTTTTCCATCCTTTGAGTTTTAGTTCGTTTGTGTCTTTAAGTCTAAGGTGTGTCTCTTGTAGGCAGCATATAGACAGATCATGTTTTTTATCCAATCTGCCATCCTCTGTGTCTTTATTGGTGCATTGTCCATTTACATTCAGCATAATTGATAGGTATGAGTTTAGCGCTGTCATTTTGATGTCTTCTTTTGTGTGTGTGTTGTTCACAGTTTTTGTCCCGCTTAACTTTCTGTGCTGAGTCATTTTTCTTTATGTATTTTCTTTTCATCTTTTTCACTGTTGTTGATTTTGCGTTTGCTGAGTCTTTATATTTTTCTAGTTTTTTATTTTGACTTGTAGGACTGTTAGCTTCCTTTGTGGTTACCTTAATATTTACCCCTAGTTTTCTAAGTTTATACCATCTTTTATTTCTTTATATCGCCTTGACTTGCTCTCCATATGAAAAATCTATGTCTACATTTTTTAAGTCCCTCTTTTTTAATGTTGTTATCTTTTACATATTGACATCTGTTTCCCTATTTTCAGTGTTTTAGCTTTGATTTTTGTGACTTCCCTGTCTGGGTTGATATCTGGTTGCTCTGTCCTTTGTTCTAGTCTTGGGTTGTTATCTGATGTTACTGATTTTCTAACCAGAGGACTCCCTTTAGTATTTCTTGTAATTTTGGTTTGGTTTTTGCGAATTCCCTAAACTTTTGTTTATCTGGAAATGCCCTAATTTCATCATCATATTTGAGAGACAGTTTTGCTGGATATATAATTCTTGGCTGGCAGTTGTTTTCCTTCAAGGCTTTAAATATGTCATCCCTTTGCCTTCTTGCCTGCATCGTTTCTGCTGAGTAGTCCAATCTTATTCTTATTGACTCTCCTTTGTAGATGACTTTTCATTTATTCCTAGCTGCTCTTAAAATTCTCTCTTTATCTTTGATTTTGGCAAGTTTGATTATAATATGTCTTGGTGACTTTCTTTTGGGATCTACCTTATGTGGGGTTCGATGAACATCTTGGATAGATATGTCATATTTCACGATATCAGGAAAGTTTTCTGCCGACAAATCTTCAACAACTCTCTCTGTATTTTCTGTTATCCCCCCGCCATGTTCTGGTACTTCGGTCACTCGTAGGTTATTCCTTTTGACAGAATCCCACATAATTCTTAGGGTTTCTTCATTTTCTTAAAACCTTTTATCTGATTTTTCCTCAAGTAAGTTGGTGTCAAGTGCTTTATCTTCACTCTCACTAATTGACTTCTATTGCCTCGATTCTGCTCCTATGACTTTCTAATAAGTTGTCTAATTCTGAAATTTTATTGTTAATCTTCCGGATTTCTGATTGCTGTCTCTCTGTGGATTCTTGCAGCCTGTTAAATTTGTCATTATGCTCTTCTCTAAGCTTTTTAATTTTCTCTATTGCATGTTCTGCGTTTTGTTTAATTTCCTTCCTAATCTCTTGAAGAGTTCTATACATTAATTTTTTGTATTCTGCCACCAGTAATTCTAAGAAATTTTCCTCCTCTGGAAAATTTCTAGGTTCTTTATTTTGGGAGCTTGCTGAAGCCATCATGGACTGCCTCTTTATGTGATTTGATACTGACTGTTGTCTCTGAGCCATCAATAAGTTATTATATTTATTTTATGTTTGCTTCTTGTGTCCTAGCTTCTTGTTTTGTTTTGATATGCCCAAGTAGGCTGCTCGTATGAGCTAGTTTGATTATTGGTATCTTTGAAGCTCTAATGTCCTGTCACCAGGTGGTTAGATCTGTTACTAGGTATGTGAGCTCAGGAGTCCAGCCACTCCTCCTGTATGGATTCAGCTCAGGTGCCCAGGTAGCTAGCCACCAAGTGTGTGGTGAAGGCTCTCACCTACAGTCCTAGACAGGCATGGGTGATTGGTGTAGGCACAGGCATCTGGCTGCAGCAGAGGGACACACTCTAAGCAAGGCAGGGGGCTGATGGCCTCCCCCGAGGGTCCAGGAGGAAGGTGTGTCCCTGTTCCCTAAAGCGTGTAGGTGGGTGGGTTTTGCAGCCAGACTATGAGCACCCAGTGCTGTTAGCTGTAAGGACTGGGGGGCACCTCTTATTCTTGGACCCCTATCGCAGGTGGCTAGGTGGCATGAGTTGAGCCACCAGTCTTTAGGCCCCTGATGTGGGTAGGTGAAGACGCTGCTTAATTGGCAGAGTCAAATGTCAAGAATCTGCCACTTCACAGCTGAAACAGCTGAAGTTAGACTTTGCAATTCATAGTTCACAATGACCCTGTTGTACTGTGGTAACAAGGGCCTATGCTGTTGAAATGGGCCCACACAAATCTATGCAGGGGGAAAGACACTCAAAGTCTGTGGATACCTTATGCCTGTGCATAGGCAAAGGAGCTGTGCCTACCCTGAGTTCCTGGCTTAGGGGAGCTGGCAGTTTCTTTTTTCCCGTTTGTTAATTTGTTCACTCTCCAAGGCCAGGAGAATGTCTCAGGGTGTGTGACGGATCCTACTTCCGGCCCAGGGGACTTGGCAATTGCTGAAGCTGGTCCAGGATCCAGTGCATAGCAGGGAGCGGGGAGGTAAATGGGAGAGAGTTTTTTCCCTACGGGGGTGTTTTTGATCCCTGTGGTAGGCCAGACGCAAGTACTTATCTTTCACCTATCAAGGGCTGCTTCTCACTGGTTCCGGGTGGCCAAGTAGACTCTCTGCCGCTAGGTCTCTCCTGGTGTGGAATATGCCTCCTGAGCACCGCTGCTTGCCTGCCTCACCGCTCACCCATGAGCTGATCCGGCCTGAAGGGCTCAGGCTCTCGCCGGGTCAGGTCTGGCAACTGCTCGCTGCTTCCGTTGTCTCTCCCTCCCCCTGCCACTCAGTCCGGTTCCTCAAGTTTGCCTTTGATGTTCAGGGCTCCTAGATTGTCATATATGATCGATTCACTCGTTTTTTCGGGTCTTTGTTGTAAAAGGGTCCACCGGAAGCATTTGACTACTCTGCCATCTTGGCCCCCACCTCCACTACTGCAACTTTTGAGGAACCACTTCTCCCCCATTTCCAGTCCATGGCACTCTGGGTGGCCAATTAGAATCACAGTGATTCATTTGGGGTTGGTCATACTTAGCCAAGCGGGGCCAACTGAGACAAACCCTGGGAGTTTTGCTGTCTCCACTGCAAAGAGCTACTCTTTCTTTGGAATTGTCAGCCCGGTGAGGTGGAGCCTACTGTTGCAGCAGCCGTCTTGCCTTCATGCCTGGGAGTGGGTGGGGTGAGGAATGAACCTGCCTGAAAATGAGCCAAACAGCGGAAAGCAGGGTGAAGAAAAGGAGAGAGACAGCTGCATGGAGATACCCATGAACACCTGGATCCAGCCATGCCTAAAGCTGGGGCAGCCTGTGGAGTGCTGTTTTGCTTTATTTTTTAGTTTTATGAGCCAAATTTAAGGTTAGGGAGACAAACATTTTTGTTTCCTTTAGTGACTCCTTACTGATTTGCAATTCATAGTTCATCTGCAATTATCAAAACTTTTTTTTTTAATAGACTTTATTTTTCAGAGCAGTTTTAGGATTACAGAAAAAATGTGCAGAAAGTACAGAGTTCCCATGTACCCAATACCAAAACTGTTAAAATCTATTTATTTCGTTGTCTGAAAAAGTTTTGATGAGAAAATGATAACAATAGCAATAGTGAGAAAATAAACAGAAATTTGCCCATGGTCCTGCCACCCCAGTAATCAAACAGTTTTCATTTTTCTCTACTGCCTTCCAACCTTGCTGTAAACATACATAAGGTTTACACACTTGCAATCACAGAATACATTTAAATATAAGTATAGATTTTTTTTTTTTAATTCTGCCTTTTATTTTCATAAAACATTTTTATAGTGTAAAAATTTTCCTTTTTACTTCAAGGTCTTCACACTGAGTAAGTATCTCCAAAAGATGGGGCTCTTTTTTTCTGCCTTAAAGATAACCACAATACCATTGTGACACACAATTTACCACATCAACTGGCCAGTCACTGTTTACATTTATCCGTTGTCTTTTTTTTAACTATTTGTTGTTAGAATCAGAATCCAAGTAAAGTCTGCATACTGCAATTGGCCGATGCCCCTTAAGTATATCTTTTAACCTGTAGTCTCGGTCTCTCTCTGTGTGTCTGTTTCTTCCCTTGCAATTTTTTGTTGTTGTTGAACAACCTGGGTCATTTGTCCTTGAGGGTTTCCTACAGTCTGGGTTTTCTCTGGACCTTGTCCTCTCTCCAGCCCTCATTCTCTCTCCTTTTCCTTCACTGTCCAGCACTGTTAACTCCGTCTCCAATTCACTCCTCACTTCAGTCCAGTCCCACCATTACCGAAACCACCTGGCTAAGATTTCCAGTGACATCCTAATTGCCAAGTCCTACTCTCAGTCCTCTCTGTACCTGACCATTCTGTACCTGACCTGGTGGACCATGCTCTCCTTTTCCCAATTTATAAACTCTAGTTGGACAAGACGTTTTCTTGAAAGCAATATTATTCCTTTTCCAAAGGTCTCCCCTAAAATCTGAAATTGCTACTTAGATACAATCTGAGAGCTCCAGATGGTCCCTGAGAATAATTTCGTATACCACTAGAATCTTTCCACCCAATGTGAGGCATCTCCTCCACCAGGCCCTTACCTTTAAAGTGTAAATACAGCGTGTCATTCAATGCTGGGGTCATGTAAAGCTTGTGTTGCTTGCAGAGTTTTTGCAGGAAACTTTTAGTCATTCTGTTAAAATGAGAAACATGAACGAGAAATTTACTTTGTTAGCTGTAAAATATATTTCAAAAATTCCTAACCACACCCCTTTCTCCCAAAAATTCCACAACATGCTATGTGCCTGGTAACTCTTTTAAATTTTCCTCCTCCTTCTTTCTTTTTTTTAAATAGCTTTCAGAGCCTCTTCCAATATTGTTACTTTCAGCATTCTTAAAAATTGCAATGTATGTTCTAATAAAAATACTTCTAATGGTGTCATCAAGAACTACTGATATTTCTCTCTGCAGGCCTGGCATTAAGTTTAGTAGATTGTGGTTAGCTGTATAACACAGACACTGCCATCCTGGCTCCACTCCTTAATAGTTCTCAGACACTGGGCAGGCTATTTCATCTCCATGGGCCTACATTTCTTCATCTGTAGAAGGCGTGATAGCACCATCGACCTTATTCAGGAAATGTGTGCTGTAACTGGCAGCATGCCCACATACCTGGGGCTTCGGTCATCCCTGTCGTCTCGTGGGTGTCCTAAGCGACTGTCTGACCTGCCATCACCACTTTGTTTCTGCTTGCTTTGGAGGGATGTGTTAGAAGGAGCCACATATGTTTCCTTGGACTTGTTAATTTCTATAAAATAAAAGAGAATAGTTCTATATATATATTTATGTATGTATATATATATATATAATTTTTCCCCAACTTCAGTTTCATTAATAGCTCTTTCCACTTTTAGTACGGTTGTTGTTATTGTTGTTAGGTGCTGTCAAGTCAACTTCTACTCATAGAGACCCCATGTGACAGAGGAGAACTGCCCCATAAGGTTTCTGAGGCTGTAATCTTTATAGGAGCAGATTGCCAGGCCTTTCTCAGGTGGAGTTGCTGAGTGGGTTCGAACTGCCACATTTTCAGTTAGCAGCCAAGTGCTTAACCATTGTGCCACCAGGGCTCCTTTTGGTATGGCACTGTATGACAGTTTTTAACTCATTGACAAGGACCACATAAATTTATCTTTGGCTGGATTCTCTATAGAAACTCTTGTACAGGTACACGAGGAGACCTATACAAAGATATTCATTTCTGCATTGTTGGTAACAGCAAAAAAATGGTTAGTAACTCAAATACTCATCTGTAGGGACAAGTAAAATAAAGCATGCTATATGAATTCAATGGGTGACTATTCTGCATTAAAACAATGTACTAGAGCTACATCGATCAGCATGGATAGTTCTCAGAAACATAATGTTGAGTGAAAAACGCCAAGTTTCATAGTAAGCACAGAATATCATTTGTCAATTTAAAATATAAAAACCAATGCTATATATTGTTTAAGGAAACATAATATGTGTATAGAGAAGTGATTGAAAGAATCCACACCAAATTCAAGATAGTTGGTTGCTGCTGGGGAGGGAGAAGGGAATAGGACCAGGAATGGAGGACATTGGGAACATTAACTTTATCTGCAAGGTTTTATTTCTTGTATTAAAAAAGACTTCAAGTCAATATGTTAATCACTTTCAATTTTAGGTGACAGTACATGGGTGTTTATTATTCACTGCTCTTTTCATTTTTTAAAAAAATTCCTCGAAAGAAAAACCACACAAAAATAAAGCAAAGCCATTCAAATGCACTGAATTTTAAGGGCTGTTGGCTGCTGCTCTGTGTGTTAGTGTGGTGTACTGAACGAGATGAAAACACTCTGTGTGGGGACTGTCTTACAGCCATTTATTAATGGCCTACTATATGAGCCCTGGTGGTGCAGTGGTTAACAGCTATGGCGAGCTACGGTTGCTAACCAAAAGGTCAGCAGTTTGAATCCACCAGCTGCTCCTTGGAAACCCTATGGGGGCAGTTCTACTTTGTCCTATAGGGTCGCTATGAGTTGGAATCAACTTGATGGCAACAGATTTGGTTTTGGTTTTTTTATATGCCAAAAACTTTCACACCAGGGCTTACATCAACCTGAAAGCCAGGGATAATTATCCCTGCTTACAGATAAGAGACTAAGGCTCAGAGAGGTTAAGCTCTGGGCCAACGGCCACAAAGCTGGTGAGCTGTGAGTCGGAATCTGAACCCAATACCGCCTGGCTCTGAAGCTTATATCTTTCCACTGAGCAATACTGCTTCCCTATGGCTTCTCACTAAGGGTTTGCCTGGACAGTAGGTGCTCAAGATATATTTGTTGACTGGGTGTGAAAAATGAAATGCCAATCAACTAGCTTCTTTGTCTGAGCATTATAAGGTTTCCCTGTTGGGTCCTAAGCCAAGTAAGACTGGAGGCTGCAGCGTCTCTGCCAAGCCCAGCCCATTCAGGAAACTTTGGTGAGGGTCACACACTGACCCCAGCACCACCAACTCTCCACTCAGTCGCTCTACCATGTGTCAGGCACTGGACTGGGCACTGGAAATTCAGTCCAGATGTCCTGCTCTCACATAGCTTGCAACCTGGAGGGGGAGAACCTTTGATCTTACACCGTGACACCAATAAAAGGATAAATTCAAAACAAAAGAGTGTAGGGGCAGGAAGGGAGCTGGTTCATTAGGTAAAGATTTGGACTCCCAAGTCAGACCGTCCAGGTATGAGTCTGTGTCACTGACTTGGTGGTGGTATTGGGTGCCTTGAGTTGATTCCTACTCATAGTAACCCCACACGACAGAGTATAACTGCCCCATAGGGTTTTCTTGGCTGTAATCTTTATAGAAGCAGATTGCCAGTTCTTTCTCTTGCAGAACTGCTGGGTGAGTATGACTGCCAACCTTTCGGTTAGCAGCAGCGCTTAACCGTTGTGTCACCAGGGCTTCTTCTGTCACTGACTAGCTGAGGGTAATCTTGATCAAATTTTATAACCTCTTTAAAGTCTCCATTTCCTCTTCTGCGTGAAATGGGGAGAGGAGTGTCTACTGCAGAGGGTTGGCGTATAGCTCAGATACAAGCACTTGGCACCTATCGATAAGTGTCAGAGCCCTGGTGGTGCAGTGGTTAAAGCACTGGGCTGCTAACCGAAAGGTCTGCAGTTCCAACCCATCAGCCGAATCAGCGGAGAAGGACGTAGCAAAATGCTTCCGCAAAGATTTACAGTCTTGGAAACCCTATGGGGCAGTTCAACCCTGTCCTATAGGGTTGCCATGAGTCAGAATCGACTCCAAGGCGGTAGGTTTGGTTGTTTGGCTTCAGCTGCCACTATTATTATTTTTGGCTCTGAAGATGAGGTATGTGACATTGGAAGGAGACTGGAGCGCCCAGGCAGGTCGGCCCTCGCCCTCCTTTCCCTCCCTGGGGAGGCGGTCAGCACCTTCCTTGCGGCCCCCTTGGCCTGCGCTCCCGTGGTCCCCCGCAGACGCCTCCACGCCAGGCTCCACGGGGCAGTCCTGCCCCGCTCCCTCGCTTGCCACTGGCTCCGAGGCCTCAGGGTGCATGTTTATTCCTGCAACAGGAAACACCTCGTTCCGCGGGGTCGCTGCAGCACCGGCGCCGCCAGGGAGGCCCGGCTTTCCTTCCCAGCTGGCCACTCGCGCGCGCGCTGTTGGCTGCCCAACGCTCCCCTGGTCTCCAGGGCAACAGCCGCGCATGCGCACGCGCACAACGGGACAGCGCGCCGGAGACGCCGGGGGCGGACCTTGTAACGGCTCCGCCCCCGGCGCTTGCGCGGGTC